TGGGGGAATGCTAGGGGGGGAGGAGGAGGGAGAGGGAAGAGAGGTGGTGGTGGTGGGGGTGAAGGTGGAAAGGGGGAGAAAGGGGGTGGTGGTGCTGGCCCGTCGAGGGAGAATAGAGGGAGGGGAAGGGGGAGAGGCGGGAGGAGGGAGCAGTCGGGTACGTCAGGGCCGGCGGCTGCTGTAGCTGTTGGTGAGGGGAGCTGAGGGGTGTCACGAGTTGAGTGTTTGGTTCTGAATGCACAACAGCAACGCATAAGTGGAGTTTTGGGAGCGTGGCAACAAAGACTTGAATATTTGTACATGGTTTGATTACTCTGCTCTGGCTGCATTTTTCGCTTGTATATATATATATATATATCTTGGTTTGGGGAAGAGAGGTATGTGGCAGATTGATGGGTGGCCACGTTGGTACGTACATACTATGGAGAGATACCTATGCAGCACATACACACATATGAGTTATACATTTCCACACGGTGAGCAAATCAGCAAGTGATTGGTCGCGAGATCTGACCTGGTTGAGAGATCCGTTTGATACCTACCTATCGTGGTTTCAATGGCCTTTCAGTTGGTGGGCCGTTGATGTATGGCTAGGTACCTAGGTGGTCGCGGTGTTCATTGGCGATGGAGAATTGCGCCGTCTTTGAGGACATCTTATCTACACTTGCACTCTGTGGATGGTGGGTGACTTGTCCTCTCCGAGATAGGCACCGTGGGTATGCAATTGTTGGTCAATTGCGCGGAGTGTAACATGGTTTGCTTTCAGTGGAAAGTCTAGCATTATACCACGCACATCCGAACACATACCTACCTATGCATATACTCTTGCTGTCCGAGACCATCTTCCTTACCTTACCTACATATGAGGCTTAGCTATCAAATGCTAGGTCTGCGAGGTTGATTTGTCCAATGTCTACCTAGGCTGGTTCTCCCGAATGCCAATTGTTGTCAATTGCCACTCAGGGTTTGGACAATCCCACGTTGTGGTGCATTGCATATCTTTGTTTTTTTGCATGAGAGAAGGCTGGCATGTGATGGGTTGCTGTGTGTGTGTTTGTGTGTATGTATGTACGGACAACTAAGCAGGAGGTATGCAGGACGGACAGCCTCGGATCGGATTGAGGTCCTATTTGCTGGGTGTGGGCTATCTTTGCCGAGGGTAAAAAGTGCAAGTTGTTTGGGAAGTGTGAGTGGCTAAGTAATGCCTGGTTCATCTCCCTTATCGCCGATAGGTGGTTCTCTATGTTCTGTATGACAAGAGAAGAGTGACGTGTGACATGGGAAGTAATTAACATTGTGGTGTGGAAAGGCTTGGTTGAGTCCAATTGACCAGTGGTTCGGGGAGGCAGGTGTGTCTTGTGTCCAATGCAGTGCGAGGTTGATCCAGAGACTGACACAGGCACACCATACGGAGGCTGAAAGGGGTAATCCGGTGGGGATGCTTTTGGGGTTTCGAGGTCTGAGAGTTTTTGTTGTATACCTGGAGAAAAGAGAGCACAGAGAAGAGATATCATGATAAGACTGGTAGAGGCTTAACTTGTTGTGTGGTCATTGGTGAGTTCGGAATGAGAGGAGGCAACAGGTTACTGGTGACCAGGCAACTTCTTAGACCGTAAGACTGCAAGCCGCTGGAGGCTGATACCTAGACTTAAATGCCACACGTTGGACTGTGGAGAGAACCAGTGGTGACTGAAGTTTCTTGTGAATGAGTTCCCAGCCATCGATATTTATCTGTCAGCGGAGAACAGTTCAAGACCAAGACTGCAGAAAATATATGCAAAGGATCTAGGCATCTCAATGTTTTTAAAGTCAAAACAAGAGAATTAGCTCTAGGCAGGTGGTGAGCGGGAGGCTGGCAGCGAGGTGCATTTGCCTGCCGATGAGCGATGATACGAGATAAGGAAATCAACCCAGTTACATTGCATCATCGCTCGTCTTGGTCGTGCTTGGCGGTTTTGCGTGATGTGATGACGAAAGAGAGGCTTGCACTATGTACATACCAGCACACCAGTTTCAACGGTCACGGGGAAGGGAGGGCGACACTTGTCTCTTTTTGTTGAGTTCTCTCCGAAAAGAAAGTCGATGATCGACTGATGACTGAAAGATGGTGGTGGTGGTAGACCAAAATTGCCAGCTGTAAGCTCCCCGTTATGCCGGCACTTGACAGACGACTGCCAGTCTGTTGTAGCGCCCGTTTTGGGCTAAGCTTCCTGCTAAAGAACCCTTGTTCCTTGACCACGAGGTGCCTGCTTACGTTGGTCGATGCAGCCAGGAACAAGTGAGGGAGTCAATCCTTATCTCGATCGCCTGGCGCATCGACCGTGTTAACCGTGGGTTCTCTTCCGACATCGCCGTCTGTTTATGACTTTGAGGTGACTGAGGTGACTGTCGTTATCGGGAGAAGAGCGCACGACATTCTCTGTAAAAAAAGACAGACAGTTTCGTGCCTCTCTAGCTGCAGCTGCACGCTCCCGTTGCCTACTACGTGGAACCACACTGGGGGAGCCCTAGAGCCTCAGCCGGCCGTCTGCCTTGGGACTGGGACTTGACCACTTATCACTTTGTCGCCGTCGCCGTCACCGTCACCGTCACCGCCAACCAGCATCCTCCCTCCCCCCTCCCCCTGAGATCCGCCTTGGGCCATCATCCCCTCTTTCTCAAACTTCCCATCCTGACCTATCTCGCCGCCTCAAACGATGGATGCAAACACCCGCTGGAACCCTCCCACCTAAACATCCACCCATCCACCATCCATTATCCACCTCCACATCTGTCCCGATCCGAACTTCTTGACAAACACCACTCGGCACCACTTGCTTGACCTTGACTTGTTTCTCGATAGCCATCCTGCAACATTACAACACATCAACAACCTACCTACCTACCTACTATACAATATCCTCGTACCGATGTAAAGGCCATTGTCCCGACCCCAACCTCCATCCTTAGCCGCAGCAATGCATCAACAATCCCGTCACCCGCCCCGGGTGTCCTCCCCCGCATCTTCTCCCCAGACAAACCCCACACGTACCAACAACCCGAGGGACCGCATCCGCACCGGCTCGGACGCTGCAGCCCCGGGCAGTCCTCCGGCATCTTCTGGCGCCGATACCCCCCGGGAGACCATCAAGAAGCTGGACCAGATCATCCAGGTACGTGGGTGTGGAAAGGGGAGGACAGGACAAGGCTGACATCATGACAGAACTTCTACCTCAAAGCCGCTGTGCTCATTCTAGGGTCTCGCGTGAACCTTGGGCCGACTTCCCGCCGGAACGCCGATGGGACCAAGGTCGTGAACAAATGGGTAAGTTACGGCCGGACAGGTTGTTTTGCATGTGATATACTCCCGCTGACGGCAACCAGTTTTCTATAGACACTGACGATACCGACGATTTTCGGCATGAACTTCGAGTATACAAGACGTCCGGCTCGTTCGAGAGCCCTCCGCCGCCCCTAGTCATCGAGACGTACATCGATGCCTCCAGCTTAAATAGCAGCCAGAGCCTGGTGCTCATCGACGACAACGGAAAGAGGTGGGATGTTTTGGAAGCCCTGAATCCTTCAGAAACAAGTGACGATGGATTTGGAAGCCGACGACCGCGAGCGCAGAATACCGAGGTCGTCCTGGAGCGGTGGGCGATCGAGCTCAAAGATTTATCAACAAACGGCCTTGGCGATTTTGCCCCGACATTACCGACATTATACAAGAGGGCCATCATGTTCTTTCGCACACTTTTTGTGGCAACACGCGTCACGCCCTGCTGGAAGTACTCGCAACAAGCGCTCGCCAAGGGAGTCCATCCGGCACTGCAAGTCAAGTGTCGGGTGTCGACTGCAGAGCCCGAGTATCTCACCACATATGACCCATTACGACAGCCACTCCACGAGGGAGATGGGAGGGAGGCGGTGACCACATATGATTTTGGAGATCTTGACATCCCCGTGGGCCGATTTTCCGCCTCGGTCACTTATCGAAACGATTGCAACTTTCGGGTAGACGCTTCAGAATCGTTGCTGAGCTCGCGCTTCATGGTGGAGGAGAACTTCTTTAGGCCAACCATCCAGCACCGGTCACGCAGGCATGGAAGATCGGACTCGTATGCCGAGCCGGGCTCGCTCCCAGCTCACAGGCTCGGTCGCGAAACGCCGGGGCCCCAGCAGACGTATGGCAGTCTGTCCACCTTCCATGGCGAAGGGGCGCTGGGAACAAGCCCCATCACTGCACTGAGACAGGTCCGCCCTATTGGGTCCGACACGAGCTCCCCATCAGAGTCTACTTCAGCCAGCGTGGAGCGGCCAAGTGCGCCACATTCATTACCTATCCGTGGCGCTCTGACCCGACCTCCGTTGAGAACTGGGGAGGAAGGCTCTCGGAGGCCATCCGTTTCTTTCCAGCCGTTCAAAGCTGGCTCAGTTTCAGGCTCTCCCAGACTTGCGGATGCAGACGTGCCACCGTCCCCGCAATCACTATCGCGCCCGTCAGGACTCAGCCAGTTTAGTCGGTCTGGCAATCGATCATCGCTGACAGCCGGAATGGCTGCATCATTGCGGGGTCCCTCTGTACCTCCACAGGACGTACCTGTGGTGTCGGGATCGCCCAAGCCTGGGAACCGGTACAGCAGCAGCTTTACTCACCGACGAGGGCGCCTTTCATTTGGCGGGCAGAGCAGGGGCGATGACGATCAGGCCAGCAGCGGGAAGCAGAGCTTGTCATCATCCGCTCAACCTGGATCGGGCCTTCTGACCGAAGCCGGAGGTATCGCCAGCTCGGGTTCTTTTGTGACTGATGACGATAACATCTCGGAATTTCTCAAGGCCCTGGACAGCCACAAGACGCTCAAAAGCTTCGAGGTCAACAGCAAGGGCGAGTCCTCGGCCTCCAAGAGGACGGCCAACCAGCTGTCCAAGTATCAGATGATGCGGGAAACGAACAATGCCCTGACAGACTCGATGGCGTCGTCGATGCATCTGCAGCGTTCTTCCAGCACGTCAAGCCGCCAACTCGGCAACGTGCCCAGCATGGCAAACCCGGCTTCCATGTCGACGTCTACCTCTCCTGGCAAGCCACTCTCGCCACACACCCCTCACACGCCAGCGATTCCGTCTCGGCTGAGTGAGAATTCTATTATTGATTATCAAGCTCAGGGGCAGGTGACCCGCCGTGCTGGTAGGAGTTCTGGTGTCACTGTTGCCGAGGAAGACGAAGCCGAAAATATGGAGACTCCTGTCGCGCAGGAGGGCGGGCGAGGCACGGGTGCTATTGACATTCCGCTATCGCCCAGGTTGTACCATGTGGGCAACCCGAACCGGCGATCTAGCTCGGTGGTGCAGCAGCACCGTTCACTGGCGGCTGATGTGGATTCGTATCCTGGCCAGCGCAGCGCCAGTGTTGAGGCGGGTGCAGACAAGGATGTACCGACATTGAGCACGCTGCTTGCCTATCAGGGAGGTGCAGGCGGGCAGAGTTCTACTGCGGCAGAAGGCAGTAGCGCGGGAAACAAGGATGGGAGTGAGAGTCTAGGAGATGTGCCGCCGGCGGCTATCGCCAGTCCTTTCGGTGGTCGGGGCGTGCGATATCCCGTCAGGACGAATAGGCCAAACTCATTTTCATCGGCGAGGCTGGGCACCAGTGCGGATGGTCCGACGGAAGAGCCGTTGCTCTTTGAACTGAGTGAATTGGGACCTGGGAGGAGGAGCCTAGAGGACGGAAGTAATGAACGGGAACCGGGGTTGCGAGGAGTTTTGAGGAAAGGATGGTCATGATCCTTTCTTGGGTTGTTTGATTGTTCATGTCAACTGTGGGCTACCTTTTTGTTTCTCTGGCGTTGCAAAGTGGATTGTATGTTATGGGGGACTAAGGGGGGGGGGGGGGATCAGGACAGGAACAACAGCGAGCGATTGCTTTTTAACATGCGGGTTTGGTTTGTTTTGAGTTATGTTTCCAGAAAGAATGAGATGCTAGGGATATAGGGGATTGGTGAGGTTGGGATTGGTGGGTGGCAAAGAGATTGTGAAAACCAAACAGACAGCAAGAAGAGGAACGGCATAGCATCGGAGCGAGCACATGGATGTTTGGAAGCGATAGAGATGGAGGATGCATGGAGCATCAGCATGAGGTGTATTTACAAATGGCATTTGTATACACCATATATTTCTATTCTTGTATTGTATATGATCTGGTGGGGGAGGTTGTGTGTGTGTGTGTGTGTGTGTGTGTGTGTGTGTGGACATAGCTCCCAATTTTACGTTGTTCCTCATGGTTCATCTGATCTGATATTGTTGCTTCCTTGATTATGTATGAGCGATAGAGAATGGTAGGAGTCTGGCTTTTGGCCAAGACACCTCGAGAGGAAATCTGCCATGTGCTAGCTTGACATGTCCAAGAGCTGTCGGCCAGGATGGAGTTTTCTCTTCGTGGCTGCGCAAGCTGCATACGCAATGGGGGGGCGGCAAGTTGAAGCGGCGGCTGTTGTTACGGCTTTTACTGTATCTTACATGTGATGCTGCTGGTTAGCGTGCAGTGCGCGGCAGTATTTACGTAACCATACCATGCTCTTGGTGGGAGGCCTGACCAACCACGCGGCACATGCGCACTGCCCACTTGACCTTGAACCTTGCTTGACCTCTGATCATCATCGATACCAACCTTGTGCAATCAACACACCGCACCTAGAGAGGATATCCTCCGTTTGAGATATCAGTCTTTCCAGCAAAAAGCAATACTATCCAGTTCCTGGCGAGACGAGCCAAAAGACCAGACAGAAAGAACAGCGACGAACTGACGGGCGGGAAGCGGGGGAGCTTATCCGTCCCTGTACCTTGAGCAAGCAATCGAACGCCGACGTCAGAGCTTCCTTTCCGGAACCTTTCACCACCACCTACCAGCAACGCCGAAACCGCCAACCCTAGACAAAAAACTGCGCATTTTCTCTGCCGAAGGGTCGGGATAGCACAAGAGTTTTCTTTTTGATCGAGTCGCATCGGCCTTTTCTACCAGGGATAGCAAGCTTAGCAACACATTCGCCCAGCATGTTCCGAGCGGCGGCGGCCGGGCCGTATGATGAGGCCATTAGTATGTCTTTCTTTTCTGTCCATGATTGATGAAATGGGATGCTGACCAAGTGAACAATAGACAAGGCCACGGATGAGAATCTTACTTCCGAGGACTGGGGAGCCATCATGGAGGTTTGCGACCGGGTAGCGAGTGATGCCAATGGGAGCAAGGATGCGGTGCAGAGCATGATTAAGAGGCTGGCTCATCGGAATGCGAATGTGCAGTTGTATACTCTTGAGGTGGGTTATAATTTTGCTTCCGTTACTCGCACATACACACACACTTGGCCCATTTGCTAACAAGTAATGATTTACCTGTGCAGGTCGCAAACGCCCTCTCCCAAAACTGTGGAAAGAACATGCACCGCGAGCTCTCCTCCCGCGCGTTTACCGATGCCCTTCTCAAACTGGCCAATGACCGGAACACGCACAATCAAGTCAAGGCGAAGATTCTGGAGAGGATGAAGGACTGGAGCGACATGTTCAAGTCTGATCCGGATCTGGGGATCATGTACGATGCTTACTATCGCCTGAAGCAGAGCAACCCCACGCTGCACCCTCCTAGCGCGCCGCAGAAGAATAGCTTGACCGAGGTGGATAGGCAGAAGGAGGAGGAGGAGTTGCAGATGGCGCTCAAGCTGAGCTTGCAGGAGGAGGAGAGGAAGAAGGGGAAGGGAGTTGGTGGGAGTAGTTCGGCTGCTGCTGGCCCCAGTGGGAGTGCCGGTGCGGGTCAGCAACAACAACAACAGCAGCAGCAGCAGGAGGCGGCAGCGCCGATCCAGCCGGTTGCTTCTGGGACTACGGCGGCGACGGTGTCGAGGGTGAGGGCTTTGTACGATTTCTTGCCGTCGGAGCCGGGGGAGTTGGAGTTCAAGAAGGGGGATGTGATTGCCGTGTTGGAGAGTGTGTATAAGGATTGGTGGAGGGGTTCGTTGAAGGGGAAAACGGGCATTTTCCCCTTGAATTATGTGGAGAAGTTGACCGATCCCACGCCGGATGAGCTGCAGAGGGAGGCGCAGATGGAGGCGGAGGTGTTTGCTGAGATCAAGAATGTGGAGAAGTTGTTGACGTTGTTGAGTGCGAGCAATACTGGGCCGAGGGAGGAGGATAACGAGGAGATATCGGTATGTTGGGCTGGATTTTGGAGGGTGGAGAGTGGAAGGCTGACTTTGCGACACAGAAGCTCTATCACCAGACGTTGGCCATTCGGCCTAAGCTTATCAAGCTGATTGAGAAGTACTCTCAGAAGAAAGGTATGGCATTCCAGGAGGGTGTTCGAATGGGGATTGGCTAACTGGGTGTGCAGATGACTTTACGCAGCTGAATGAAAAGTTCATCAAGGCTAGGAGAGACTATGAGGCTTTGCTTGAGTCGTCCATGTCTCACCCTCCTGGTCCCACGTATCACCAATACGCGATGCGCCCCCAGATTCCTGGAGGGTATCCTCCTGCCGGCCAGGGCTACGCTCCTGGTCCATCTGGTCCTCAAGACCCGCAGAGATTCTACACTCCTGCCCCTGCTCAACAAGGTACGGCATTGGCCGAGTTTGGCGCTTAGGAGGGATCGCGAAACTAGAACTGAGCAACAGCTGATTTGTATATACGAGTAGAATCATCTCAATACCCACCATCCTCACCTTCTCCCAACTTCCAGCGTCCTCCTCAGACGGGAACTCCTGCGCCGGTGTATTTCGCTGGTGCGGAGATTCCATCCCAGCCAAATCAAGCACCACCACAGGCGCCTCAGCAACAGGCACCACCACAACCTCCTCAGCAGCAGCAAGCGCCACAGCAGCAGCAGGGATACCCTCAACGTCCGAACGAACAGAGGGTGCCGTCTAGCGGGCAGCAGCCGGCCCCGATCCAGACTTCTGTGTCGCCTCCTCCTCAGGGGCAGTACACGGCTTACCAGTCCCCATCAACAGGGGCCCCGGGTGGTAACCCTCGTCCGCAAAGTTATGGGGGGCCGCAGGAGTTGTCCACCTCGGTTTATGACTCGCCTGTTGCGGCGCATCATAATCCGAGCGGGTCGTACGCTTCGTTTTATAGCGCCAACAACAACGACGATCCTTATGCGGCTGCCAGCCCAAGTGCGCCGAGTGCTCCGAGTGCTCCGGGTGCTCCCCCGCCGGCTGTTCCCGGGGGAGTGCAGACCAATCCTTATTATGCTGCTGCTGCGAATGCGGGTGGGCAGTATGGAGGTGAGGGATATGGTGGTGCGCCGGATAGTCCGTACACGTCAAGGCCGGCGGTGCCGGTGACCACGATGTCGCCTCCGCCGTTGAAGCCGAGCGGGCCGGCGTTTGATGCTCGGCAGGGGTTACCTAGTCGGACTGGGGAGGGTGCTGCTGGTGCTGGTGGTGGTGCCGCTGCTGGGGGAGGGGGAGGGGAGGGGACGTATAAGGCTTATGTTCCGCCTAGTGCGCAGGTTGCTGGAGGTGGGGATGATGCGGCGGGGAATTATTATAGGGGGGCTGGGTATTAGGAGGGATGTGTATTCAATTTTTGTGTGATATGGGTTGAGGGTTTGGTACGTAACTGATGGTGAATGTATGCGTTGCGTTGTGATTTTTGTGTGAGCTGGTAGTATGTGGTGTTGCTGTGAGGGAAGGCGGTGGTGCGAGAGCTATGGTGGGTCGGAGGAATGAACGGGGAGGGCAAAAGGGGGGAGGTAAAGGGGGGAGGTATGGGGGTGGTGGAGCAAAGGATGGAGGAATGGTTACAATGATAAGTCGTGGGTGGGGTGGGTAATACAACAGCAGCAACCAATAGGCCCGCATGGCTCAGTGGTAGAGCGCATCACTAGTAATGATGAGGTCGTCAGTTCGATTCTGGCTGTGGGCACATGTGATATTTCATATCTTTTTCCATTCACGTTTAACTTGAATTTTTTTGCTTGTCTTTACTTTTTTATACTCGAAACAAAATGAATTGTTACTCACGATCATAGCAGAATATTTGTAAATCAACGCATTTTTGTTATTGGCAAAACCCCGTTAGGTAATATAAACTAATTACATGAACTCCCCCCCAAATAAATGACCTATAAATCCCATGAAATTTCAACGTTAACTCCCATCCCACGCAGCATACATGGTATAACACCCCATTTTGCCCCTGTTTGGCACTTGATATCCCGTTAAATGCAACGTCTCCTATATGAAGCAACAAATCAACGCATATCAAGATGAAAATCAGTCCCATTCCCGCCCATTTACCCCCTTTTCAACTCCCATTTATTCATTCCTCGCCCTTTTACTGGGGCTACCCTCGTCCTCACCCCCTGCATCATCGAGCCCCCGCTTCTTGCGTGAGCTAGGAGGTGGTGTTCTGAGCTGGTTCGCATCGGGTGTGTCCTCCTCCTCGTTGTCGGAATCGTCGTCACTATCGCTGGAGATCACACTGTTCTTCTCATCGTCGGTGTCCTCGTCGTTTTGCTCGGTCAAATCCACGATTTCGGACGCGTCGTCGTCGTGGGTGAGATCGATCTGCTCCCCTGACCTAGAGGGGTGGATTATGGGGACGGGGGTGGATGACTCCCGCTTTATGGAGGGTGTTGATGGTGCCAGGCGGGGAGGAGTGGGAGCGGAGGGGCGAGGGGTGACGAAGAGCCCGCCGCTGGGGGGTTGGGCGATGCCAGGGGGCAAGGCTGACATTGAGGGGGTTCTTGGGGGAGCTTGAGGAGTTGGTGTGCTGGGGTTTTGGATAAGAGGGGTGTTGTAGCCGCTGACGAAGAGGGAGGAAGTGGTGGTGCAGCGTCTTGGGGCTGTTGAATGGGGGGTTTGCATGCTACCTTGAGCAGAGGGGTTGGCGGGGGGGAGGTCGTCTAGCATGGCTCGTAAGCGCTCTCCGTCGGCGGCTTCGGTGGTTCTGTTGAAGGAGATGGGCCTCGAGTCTAGGATGACCAGCTCGCTGTCGTCATCTGAGCTGCCTACAAAGAGCGGCGAGCTGGCCCTGGAGTGGGCAATCGAGGGAGGGCGAGCAAGCTTTGAAGAGCTGGAGTGGAGTTGTGAGAGCCCGGATGACAGGTTTGAGATCCTGGTGGATAGGTTCGATGTGTAGCCTGTAGTGGTTGTGTGCGTTGCAACGCTCCCTGAACGCCTCCCTCTAGCCATTCTACCTCCTCTTCTTCTTCCTCCACCCCTGCTGCTTCCCAGCGCGAAGCTGGCCACATCGGCATCATACTCCCTACTTCCTCCCTCTCTGAGCTCATCGTACGAGCACCGGCCGTTCCCCAGACTGTAGGTATCCCTCACGAGCTCCCAGTCTTTCTCGGGTGGCTTCCACTGGCCCTGGCTCGCACCAGCTCCGCCACCACCGCCATCACTCCCACCACCATTCCCTACTCCTCCTCCTCCTCCTCCACCACCACCATCACCCTTATCGCCAACCTCCTCATCATCCCCAAACGAACCCCTTCCAACCAGCCCCCTCAGCTTCTCTAACCGACTCCCCTCGGCCCTAATTGGCACCTTGGGCATGGCGACCACAGTCTCAATATCCCTCTCAAAACTCCAATCCTCCACCTCGTGCCTCACCCCACCACCCGAACGGACCGCCTTGTTCAAATCATACCACTTCACCCGCTCCATCCCCCTGAGCTGGTAAATATAATCCACCCCCTGAACCGTCCTCAAAGCCCTATTCATCCTGTAATTAGGCTGCCCCTTGGTCTTGTTCCCCACAGCCTCTTCATAGCCGGGTGCTCCGTCCCCCTCCGCATACAACTCTTTCTGCGACTCATTGATATGAACCACCAGAGTCTTCAACCTCTTCATATCAACCAGCCAGCTCAACGCGTGAGTCCTCCGCGAGAACGGCACCATGGGCGCGCCAACCTCTTCGCCATTCGCCGCCACCCGCCTGTATGTCGGTGCCGTGAGGTGCTGGTTGCCCGTCCAGACAATCTCAACATGCTGGATCCTCTCCACCCTCGCAACCCCGCTCCCCTGACAGAAGCGATGAAACTCGCCCAGGGATGAAAAGGCAAAGGTGTTGAGCCCGTAGAAGACGTGCGTGCCCAGAAAGAGGAACCGTTTGGAGACTTGGAGTAAAGCGAGCACCTCGGCGGGTTCGTGGCCGTCGGTGTTGACGCAGCAGTCTTTTTCCGGACCCCAGAAGAAGAAGTGCCGCAGTCCAGACCGTCGCTCCAGCTCTTCCTCGGGGGGGAAGGTGGAAGGGGGGTGGAAGGCGTCCAGTCGGGAGACGCAGTGGATCAGCTGACCGTCTTTGAAGAGGACTTTCTTGAAGATGTCAAGCTGGATGAACCCGGGGAGCTTCTCAAAGGGGAAGGACTTGGCGTACTTGACGACAGCCTGCTGAGGGGTGCGTGTCAATATGCCCATCAGGGGGTCCAGCATTGCTCCTGGCAGCTCGTTGTCATCATCACCTCCTTCCCCTTCCTCACTCTCCTCCTCCTCCTCCTCCTCCTCCTCCTCCTCCTTACCCTCTCCCTCCTCACTCCCACTCTCACTCCCCTCCTCACCACTCTCCTCCTCACTCTCCTCCTCCACCACCGCCCGCACCCCCGGCACAAACCTCAAATCAGGATGCCTCCAAGTAACCAGCGTACTCATGTTCTCCTCCTTGGCACTCTGCTTAAAAACCATCCGATACGTCAACCCTGGCACATCACTGAGAAAGTCCCTGAGCAAGCGCTGCCACGTCTGTATTCATTGTTGGTTAGCCCCTGGATTTCCCCCTGAATCAAAGCAAACTTACCCGCTCAGTATGCAACCCCCTCGGCCCCAACCTCGCCTCCAACACCCTCACCCTCTCCCTCAACTTCTCCTTCTCGGCCCTCTCCCCCGCAAGCTCCTCCCTCGCCTCCCTCAGCTCCCCGTGCAACCGCTCGTTTTCCCTCTGCAGGAGTAGCCTTCTCTGAGCCTGCCGCTGGTTACAGCCTGGCATGACGCAGTATCTACCCCCAGGTGCCTCTCCTCCCCCTGCATCACCACCACCACCACCGTCGTTATTATTCATTGTTAGGCCTCTTTCAAAGATGAAAGAGATCTACACCATAAACAAATCAGGCCTGAATTGCAAGTTGATACGCCTCGGTTAATAACCCTGATGTCTTGTTGGATCCGTCGATACGCGTGAGGTTGATGGTTTGGATGGGTAGGTAGACCCAGACAGAGAGATCGAGTTGAAGAGATGGCAAAGGGAGCTGAGTAGGCGTCGCTCAGTTGAAAGCAATAGAAGGAAATAAGAAGACTTTTGAGAGAAGAGATGTGGGTTAATAGATGGTCGTGAGATCAATCCAGAGGCTGAGGAACGATAACAAAGCTGGAGGGAAGAAAACGGGAGATTCTACTGATAGGAGAGCCCCTCCTGCCTGTTATTGCGATGGTGATGGGCAGGATTTTTGTCGTTGGGAACTTCTTTGGGGGATGATGTTTCAGGGGGCAGGAGCAAGGTGAGAGATTGGATGGCGATGAGAGAGGTTGCCGAGATGAAGACTGATGGAGTAGGTCAGAAACTGGACCTCGCTGTGGAGGTAGGTCGGCAAAAGTCATGGAAGTAGGTTACCTACGAAAGTCAGCTGTGGGAGCCGATAGGGAGTGTGAGTAGAGATAAAATTGAGTAGCGAGGATGGAAAGGTGGAGTGTAAAGATAGGCCACAGAAGCCCGCGGTGGTTCAGACTGTCTGGCGACCTAGGACCCAAGGCTGTTTGGGTGAGAAACTTGAGATGGGAGGGAGAGAGGAAGTATTTGTAAGGGGGTGGGAGAAGAAAGAGTTTGGCATCAAGCCTGAAAAGAGATTGGGAATCGACTGGCATGAGGAAAGTCTGATTCTGCCTAACTGGGTGATAAGAGGAAGGAGGTTAGTAGTTGGTGATTCAGACTGTTTGAACGAGAGCACAAGATGAGAGGTGGGAAGAGGAAGTATTTGTAGATATGTGGAAGAGGAGAGATTCCGGCATCTAGCATGAGAAGATACTGCCAATCTTCATGACGAGAGAAAGTTTTTGTAGGTGGATGGAAGAGGAATGAACTTCAGCATCTATGAGAGAGACTGCAATTGCTTTTTGTAGGTGGATGGAAGAGGAATGAACTTCAGCATCTATTGAGAGAGACTGCAAATTTGACTGATCTGAGGAAGGTGCAATTTGAATATGGCCCAGTGACGAGAGGAAGTCCTATTTACATTAACCTGTGACCCAGAAGTGCTTCGGACTGGCAGGAACGGCTGCTTCAGTGGAAGGTTTGAATCTGAGAGACAATTCAGATAGTCAAGCAGAAGATTCTATTTGAAATGGGCATTTAGCTCAATTTCAGTATCTTGTATTTGGATCCCCAGCTGCCATGGAGCCCTTTTTCAAAAGAGACCTTGTTCAGACTCTGGCAAAGCTTAGGGAACTGAGTGAGTCTTACACCTCAAGACAAGGATCCAAGCACCTGCTGACCTTATGTATACCAAGTCTTTAGAAGTCGTGACTGGAAAAACTTCTCATCTGATATATGCAAATTCAAATCTGGGAGAGAACGACTGTGGCGCAACATGAACATCCTACGGTACCTTGAATCTAGAAAATAGCATAAAGCGATGCATGGGTCATATACCAGCTAAATTACACATTAGCGTTACCTATTAACTGTTGAAGAATAGGTGATTTGTGCAAAAGTCAAGGGGGAGAGTCTTCCTGCGACTCCGCCCCCTATGTACTCCTATTTTCGTCGTTGAAGTAATAAATCCCTTTCCCCTAAATCCCATAACCCTCTTAACTATATTAATAATATAATATATATTTACCATACCTTACTTATATTTTAGTATCATTTTATTTCTGACTTACTTTAATTTTAAAAATTTTCTATAAGTATTTTAGCCACGACTTTTTTTTTGTTAGCTATAATTAATTAGCTTTTAAAGATAATTAATAGGCCTTTTGCTTTAAATATATTTAATCATCCTTAAACATAGATTAGTACGCCTCTACAGATATCCAACAGGCCTTTGTACCTCATTACCAAACACACTCTACCTAGCATTTTCAAATATCCCTTCTCATAGCACACAGTGTGCTCAGACACCTACCTACCTAAGATCTCCCCATCCTCGATACTTAAGCTACCGGGAAAAAAAGGGGGTCAAGGGGAGCCAGCGTTTGTTAGCTCATTTTAAATGAACTATATACGTCAGGCTTAACGTGCATGATAAGCGAGCCCGAACAGACAAGCGAGCCGAACACTTTCCACCACCCCACTACAACTATCTTCAATTACACAACCACAATACTAGGAAACCACAATAATTGAACCAGAAACAGATGAATCAAATGATTCTGCAGCCTCTTTGCAGGTGCGTGCATTATGGCCTGGCTTACCGCACACGCTACAGCACTAAATCTTCGGACGAGACCCCCTTGCACCACCACTACTTTATTGATCTTCCTGGATTACCTGCTCACCTACAGCCTTCTGATCCAGTAGATCCTGTGCCTCCTATATAGTAAGTGACCCTCTAAGCCGCACACGTATTTTTTTAGCTCTCCGGCACTTACTTAGTACCTTATTAGCCTTACGGAGTATAGTGTTCTCTGCACGAAGGAGAGCCACCTAATGTATTATACTTTTAGTAAGCTAGTCTATAGTAATTAATATTAAAGTCGGGGAACTATTTTAATAGTTAGTAATACGAATTTTAATAAGCGTTAACTATAAGTTAGTTTCTCGAAAGTTATATAGTATTTAGAAGACTTAAGGTTATATAGTACCGGGCCGTAAGTTTAAAGGTATTAGCGTATAAAGCTTTATATTTAACTTAGAAAATACCCTCTTTAAATCGTACGGTATAAGGCTAATACCCGTAAAGCTACCCTATATATTTTTCTTTATTATAGAGGCAAAAAAAGCTTCGCGGAAAGTATAGAGAAATTCGAGCTTATTTATATAGTTAATATATATATATATTAAATCCTCGATCTAATGACCGTATATTTATTTTAGCGGCTTAAAGTAATTAATATTAAGTAATTAAAGGAAGTAAGAGGAATATAAAAATATATAAAGCATAATAATATTATTCTATTAATAGTAACGCTCGAATTCGGTTAAATAATAATTTTTATAGCCGTCGAGGATTAATAATAGGTATTTACTTTTTATACGGAATACTATATAATAATCGAAGTACTTAATTTAATTTAAGCTTACCGTATTAATAATCTAATTATTATTAATAATTATAATACGTTAAGTAAATAGTAAATTATATTTAGTATATTAATTAATAAAATAATATTATATAATTAAAATAATAAAAGGAGGAATAATTTAGCCGAAAGTATTAATTCCCTAGATTACCGTTATTTATTTGCGGTTATTAAGCTAAGCTAGTTTGTCACAACCCTAGTACAGGACGGTTGTGGGGCCACGGGAATAGGGGAGCCAATCACAGTAAAGGCAGAGTAATCAGTGTGATCAGGGCACTGAGTAGACTGAGCAGAGGTGATTAGTGTGATCAGGGCACTGAGCAGACTGAGCAGAGGTGATCAGTGTGATCAGGGCACTGAGCAGACTGAGCCGAAGTGATCAGTAGCCTTGGGAGACTGATCACGGCTTGGCACAAGGACCATATATACGGAGGAACTGGCTAGTGTAGATAGACAGTTCCGCAGTATGCAATTCAAGCTTGTATTCACGGCATCTTGTATTTACATCGAGACATCTTATTGTGCACTATTTAGCTGCACCGAACCAATTGTCAGAAGTTACCTTCAACCCGTATCCCTTTCAGAGGTTCTATATAGGGGTTCGTCACATAGTTTCGCTTTATTATAACTATTAAAAATTATAATTACTATACCCGCGAAAATAATACTTATTATAAACCTAACTTCGTCGAAGTTATAAATATTATTATTTACGATACTATATTTAGCTTTAGTATTCCGTACGAGAGTAAACTACTTACTAATAACCTTTAGATCCTTATATTTAGCCCTTTAATAATTATATTTATATATAAAATACGTCCGAAATTCTGGTTAACGTTTAACGAAGTTATAAGCCTATTATACGTTAATAGGAGGCACGTCGCGTTTATATAATAATCAATTAATTATATTTTCTATATACGAAAGCCGAGGATAGAATACGTATATATATAGCTTAATAATATATTAAATAATCGTTTTTTCTTCTAAATCGGTAAGTTTACGTAAGTTAATTAGTATATTGCGTCGTGCAAGTCGGCTAGCGCGTCGGTTATGGAGAGTTATAATTAGTATATTATAAAGCTTAACTGCGCGTCGAAGACTAAGATTTGGGTCGTTTTTGATAGCTTCGAGGGCTAAAATAATTCGAGATTCGGTTGGAAGTGAATTCATAGCGAATTGGTGGTAAAGTTAGTGAAAGAAGTCGGAGGGCTGCGCTGCGTTGGAAAGTGTTCGGCTCGCTTGTCTGTTCGGCTCGCTTATCACGCACGTTATTGATAAAAGAGACTCAAATAATGAAGCGTCTGCGCCCTTTATCGAGCGAAAGCCTATTGATATCACACTCAACAGCTCTCAAATATTGCCCAAGGTCTGTTGACTGCCTAACGAAGCCCACATGCACGCGAGGGCAAACCTGACACTTGATGGGGGGTGTTTGGGGCAGCAAGATTTATACTTGCTTCTTAGTTCAGTGGTACACCCATAGCTAACATCAAGACCGACTTGATTCATGATTACTTCCGTCCCTTTCTGATCGTGAGTGACAGCACCTGCAGGCTACCTCTCATCAGAACAATCCAACAAAACTTAGTCAAAAGTGATCTTCTTCCCCTCAAACGGAGCAGTAAGCTTCTCCTTCTCCTTGGCCAACCTCCTCGCCTCCCAACTGGGATGCAACGTGCCAAGATCATCTCTCTTCCTATCCTTCTTCGGCGGCTCCTCCTCCTTCTTGACAGCCACATCGTTCGCACCCGTAGCCTTGAAGGGGTTCTTGATACCCTTCTTCCACGGCTTGTTGTCTCCATCCACAGCACCCCTCTTCAGATCCCAGCCCGAATCCCGCTTTTCCTGCTGCTTCTTAAGGTGCTTGGCCTGTTCCTTAAACTTCTTTTCCCAGATGGCCTGTCTCGCCCGCTGACCACGGCGGTTCTTGCGGGTGGGAGCGAGGTCGACGTCCGAGGCTGATTCCGAGCCCGAAATGTAGCCTCCCATTAGGGACGGCAGAAAGGTTGAGCCGTTCACTTCGACCTTGGCGGCTCTTTTGCTCTTCTTTGGCGGCGGAGACTGTGCCGATGACGAGGCGTCGCTTTGTTGGTCTTCCTCTTCCTTTTCTTCTTCGCTGTCGCTGTCACTGGCTGAGCTTTGGTTGGAATCACTGAAGCCGCCAAATTCGTCCTCGCTTTCTTCATTGTCGTTTTCTTCGTCGGCCTCATCGTCGGTTATTTGCATCGGGTCGAGGTCGTCATCGGAATCGTCGTCGGAATCTGCCTCGTCGCCACCTTCTTCGTCGGACGTGATTTCCATTGGATCCAGCTCTTTTGGTAGTGCTTTCTTTGTTTTGGTTTGGCGTTTTGCGAGCTTCATCTTCTCTCCTTCGTCGTCTTCGTCTTCTGAGCTTGAGCCGAGGAGGTCGGCCATGCGGGAGACGACAGTTTCGTCTACATCTTCTCCGTAGTTGATGTCCTCGTCCTCTTCCTCGCTGTCATCTGCTACTGGGAGGTCCTTGACCTTGTCCTGTTTGGTATCCTTCTCTTTCTTTTCCTTCTTGTCGCTCTTCGCCTTCTTCGGCTCTGACGTTTCTTTTACTCCCTCCTTCTCTTCAAGCCTCTCCTTCTTCCCCCTGCCCTTCTTCTCCGGAACGGAAACACCCAGCGCCTTGCAGACATCTTCCAGCGCCTTAGCCACCGCCTCTTTCACGCCCGCATGACTGTACAGCGCACTGGTGACATTGTGCAACGCCGCTCTTTCCTCCTCGGTGAGCTCAGGTTTCGGTACACCGCTTTTGATCTCGTTTGGTAGCTTCTCATGTTCGGCGATACTCTTGACTCGGAGGAGGGACGAGCAAAGGTGGGCATGGGCGGTTTGGTGAAGGTCCAGGGACTGTACTTGCATCAGTATCATGTATCGCCTCTCACAAGAATATCTATCAAAACCCACGTTAAGAACAACAATCTCCTTCTCTATCCTCGCCTTCTTATCCGGGGTCGACTTCGCATCCTTCAACCGTTTGCTCTGTCGCTGGCGCTCGCGGCCTTTGGCGTTCTTGATGGCGCGGAAGACCTCGTCGCGATGCTTGAAAAACACAGCAGAGACATTGAGGGAGGAGTCGTCATCGCCGCGCTTTCGTTTAACCATTTTTTTTTTTACTGATTCTATTGTCGGTAGTTTTTATGTTCTGGCGCAATTCATGTTGTTTTTGCTTCAAGCTGCGAAGCTTCTCGATGGATCCTTAAAGTAAATTTCAGCGGGGCTCCCACAGCATGGCGGCTTGGCATAAATCACTGACCGGGGGTTGTGCGAACGCGTAAAGTGGGCAACGCGCGCGTGCGTGTGTGCCCAAGCAACAACCGTTCCGTTTCTTTGTTCTCCATCTCCAATTCTCCATCACATTTTTGACGAACCCAACGAACCGTTGTGGAATTCTAGACCAAAAGGAAAGCTTGAAAGCTTATAGTACCGAAAAGCGAACAACGGGATAACCCGCTTTCAGCCACACCGAGAGAGAGAGAGAGACACGACAGCATTCTTCCCTCCCTTTCGCCTCGCTAGCTACACCAGAGAGCTCTCTCTTGTCTTTAGCGAACCCAAACAACCTTCTTTTGTAACAATTGTTTAGTTTTGTTCAAACACCCCGGCGCACAACCCAACCTGTCCTCCGCTTTTCCCATCCAACCCCCCCCCCCCCCAAAAAAAAAAAACGGCAGCAATGGCCTCCTCCTCCAACCCCGGCCGCGGCGCAATCCAATACGCCACCCCCTCAAGAGAAGACTACAACAAGCTCTCCGACGAGCAAAAAACACGCGTCAGCGAAGCCGTACTTTCCCCTTCCCCCCATCCATCCCCTCCTATACTAACCCCCCACAGTTCGACCTCTTCGACTCCAACAAAGACTCCTACCTCTCCTACGAAGAGTTCCGCTTCGTCCTCCGCGCCCTCGGCTTCGAGCTCCCCAAAGCCCAGACCTTCGACCTCCTCATCCGCCACGGCCAGAAACCCCCCTCCTGGACCCACGACCAGGACTGCCCCCCCATCTACCGCCTCTTCAGCCTCCCCGTCGTCCAGGCCATCGCCGGCACGCTAATACGGCAGCGAGATCCCCGGGAAGAGCTGAGAAGAGCGTTCAGACTGTTTGACGTGGACGGAAAGGGCATGATCACACAAGACGACCTGAGACGAGTGAGCAAACAAGTCGGGAACAACATACCGGACGCGGACATCATCGCCATGGTGGAGGAGTTTGACGCGAGTGGCAAGGGGGGTGTGGACGAGGATGAGTTTTTGAGGTTGATGATGTCCAAGAAGTGATTTCCTTTTTTTCTGTGCTTTTTGTCATATTCATGCTTTTGGATTGCATGGGCTGTAAGATGCATGTATGTATGTATGTATGTTGTTGATACCCAAAAACTGAATTACGCCCCGGTTGGCCAGCCATCAAGGCTTTGTAAACTCGGGCCATCTACGATCAACCCTCCCAATGTATGATGTCTACCGCCCAATATTCACACCATCCCTATCCTACAACCCTTTCTCCCTACTCCTGACTCCCCTTCCTCGTCACAATAATCCAATTGACATACCCCACCCCAGGAATAAACCTCTCCGTCCCACTCCTAACCTCCCACTTCCTTATTTCCCCCTCCCCCAACCCGCAACTCCCCATTAAATCCTTCACCTCCCCCACCGTCCTCGTCCTGAGACTAGACATCCACCCATCAAAAACCAACACCGCTGGCAGCGCCGGCACCAGATACGTCCACACCAGCGCCAACGGAGCCCCCCACAAAAAAGCATAGTAAGGCGCCATGACCATCGCCCCAAGACCGAACAAACAGCACGCCAAAAACCCCGACAGAGACCGGTCCTGCAGTTCAAAGATGCCAAACCCGTCGCTGGTCTCGAGCGTGTTTCGGAGGATTTTCCTCGCGAGGGTGTCGTCAAAGTGGTGAAAGGCAAGGTTGAACAATCTGAAAACCTTCTTCCCTTTTTGCTTCTGGTCATTGATCAAGTGCTGGGGGACGTTGCTCGCGTCGACAGAAGACGAGACATAAGACAGGTTAGGGGAGGCAGAGGCGGCGGCGGACCAGAGGGCCGGGTGGGGATGGATGTCGGTGAGGATGAATTGGACCGGTGGGGGGGCGGTGGCTGCTTCCTTGCATGTGGGTGCGGAGGAATTGGGGGAACCTGGATGGTTGTTAGATCGATGTTGTGTGTGAGAGAGCGAGGGAGGAAGGGGATGATGATACCATTCTTGGTCTGCTATCTCAAAGACCTGCATTCGGGGTAGGAGAGGTGCCATGGTGGGCTGGTTAGTGGGCTGGTTGGTGGGCTGGCTGGTGGTTGGTGTAGGTTAGTTGGAGATAGTTGGACGTTGAAGGGATTCGAATGTTTGGGACCGGGTCGGGAATGGTAGGTATCACAACGGGAATGGGGGAATTCCTTCCGAGGACCAATCGACGTTTTTTTTCGTGGTTGGACAAGAATAGGTAGCTCAAGCTGTGGTGGAAGAGTCAATCATGGCCCTAGCTCCCTTGTATGACGTTGTGGGTGAGAGTAGTGGAAAAGGAGCAACACCTCCGAGCTTTCTACAGTGAACGCATCCTGCTTTTAGCCCTGGGCCACCCCCTGTCTGCCCCCCAATCCGTGCAAATCTTCCTGCAAGCGATGGCAGTTCGTGCGACCTTGCCAAGCCTGATGTCAACCGCCCGTCAAGATCCCACACCCTTCACATGGACAACCATCCAAAGTCGACCTTCAACTTCAGACGATACCCGGGATCAATTGGACAGTTCAGATCGGATTTGTTGTGCAAGCCACGTTTGATATCGAGATTCATTACCGCCGCCGCAATTGGCTCGCCTAAACACCTTGCATAACCTCTGTCTTATAAGTCCAAGGGCGGGTTTGGTGAGAGCAACGTCAGCACTGTTGGTTTACTGAGACACCGTCATCACCTAAGAACTCCTCCTTAGGTTCCCTCAACATACACACTCGCACCCCTATGCGTCCCAGGTAGCCATATCCTCACAATGGGCCTCTTTCTAGGCTCGGCGCATTACCTCCTCGCGGGGGTAGTCTTTGCGCTGCTAGTCCGCGCACTCCTAGGAAAGAAGGCCATACGACGCAACGGGGAGCCTCTACGAAACCCACCCGACACCCTCCCCCTCGTGGGCAACGGCATACAATTCCTCCAGCCTCGCTGGAACCTCCTCAGCTGGTTCGACAAATGCCAGCGCCAATTCGGCTACGAGACCCTCGCCCTCACAGTCCCAACCCTCCCCCCTGGCGTGCTCATCCACGATCCCAAAAACCTCGACTACGTCTTCAAGCACGAAGGTCTCTTCACCAAAGGCAACTTTGTCAAAACCCGCTCCTGGGACCTTTTCGGGAATGGCATCATCAATGCGGACGGTGACTTTTGGAAACTCCAGCGCAAAGCCGGCCTGAGCTTTCTCAACACGGCCAACCTGCGGGTCTTGACCGATGTGGCTCTCCCGCAGTATCTGTCTGAGAGCGTCAAGGAGCTCGAGGCGGCCAAGCCAGACCAGGTGGTGGATCTGCAGGATGTTTTTCATGAGATTACCACCAAGCTTATGGGGAAGATGGCTTACAATGTACCTCCTCATTCCTCCCCTTTCCATGTTCGTGGTGACTGACCTCCCGTCCAGATGGAAATGCACTTCTCCTCCCCCTTCTCCTCCTCCTTCGACCACGCCTCGGGCTGCACAGCGCAGCGCTTCCAAAACCCCCTCTACCCCCTAACGGAATTCTTTTTTGGCCACAAGTTCCGCCAATCCATCTCCACCGTCAAAAAATTCGGCCTCGAAATTGTGTCCCGCGCCATGCGAGACGCCAAATCCATTTCCTCTTCCCCGCCGCCTTCCACCTCGCCCGATGACGAGAAACTAGACTCCATCTCAGGATCACTAATCCACTCCCTCTTGTCCGCAATCCCCGACTCCCCCTCCACCGTCGCCGACGCGGCCTTGACGTACCTCTCCGCAGGCCGTGACACCACAGGCCAGGCACTAACCTGGACGTTTTACTTGCTGCTCTCTCACCCAGAAGTTTTGGCCAAAATCCGAGACGAGGTCAGGGGTGTTCTTGCTAGAGAACAACCCCCGCTTGACACCACCTCCTCCTCCCTTCCCTTTTCCCCCGCAGTCCTGACCCCCCTTTCAGCACCTTACTCTCTCGCAGTCTTTTACGAATCCCTCCGCCTTTACCCCCCCATCCCGTTTGAGATTCGCCAAGCCCAGGCAGCTACCACACTCCCAGACGGGACGTTACTCCCAAAGGACAGCGTGCTGGTGTGGTGTCTGTGGGCTATGCAGAGGAGCAGGCTGACCTGGGGGGAGGACGCGGATCAGTTTAGACCGGAGAGGTGGCTGGATGAAAATGGGACACTCAAACACAAGGGCGCGGCCGAGTTTCCGGTTTTTTACGGGGGGGCGAGGAGTTGTTTGGGAAGAAAAATGGCCGAGGGGATTGCGGTGCAGGTTATTCCTGTTGTGGCTTGGGGGTGGGAGTTTGAGGGGGCTTGGGAAGGAGGACAAGAGAGGAGGAGTGGGGATAGCTTGACGCTGCCTATGGAGGGGGGGTTGCCTGTTTTTGTTAGGAGGAGGAGGGGGGGGGAGACGACGGGGAGATAGATAGGTGGATGGGTAGGCGTGAAATTTTATTTGGTTTTTTGGATAAAGTTGTCTGTTGTGGGTATATGATGTGAAACGGAATCACCAGGAATTAAAGCTTACAATCACATCACACACAAAGGTCAAAAAGTGTTCCAAACTGACTTGATTACTTCAACACCACTATATAGTATTTATATATATATCATATATATATAAAGAGGACCTCACAAGAGCGCCCCCTGGTCCAGTAACGACTGACCCCTTCTCTCATCTAATCCCCTTTTTTTCCAAACCAAAAAGAGAAAAAAGTGTTCTCATATCAAACATGTAATTCCCATCATCTCGCCGCGTACTGCGCGACAAAAAAAAATCAGGCTGGCGTCGAAAGAGAAAAGGAAAAAAAAAAAAAGCCATATGAAAGAAAGGGGAAAAAAAACCCATGCTTATATCCAAAGCAGTCTCAAAAAAAAAACGCCATCTCATGCTGGTAATGCTTTCCCGCCCCAAACTTAAACAACCGGCGCAGCAGCCCTCACATCATCCGTAGCCTCGCTCTCATACTTTTTGAAATTCTCCAAGAAAAGCCCACCAAGCTTGGTAACCTCAGCCTTGAAGCTGTCGGCCCCCGCAGTCCAGGCATTCTGAGGATTCAACAGCTCGTCCGGCACGCCGGGGCAAGTCTTGGGAACCTGCAGGTTGAAAACACCATAGTTCTCATACTCCACCTTGGCCAGCTCGCCAGAGTGAATCGCGTCGAGGATGGCGCGCGTGTACTTGAGCGGGCAGCGCTTGCCGCCCTGGGAGAAACCGGCGCCCACCCAGCCGGTGTTGAGCAGCCAGGCGTTGGCGCCGTGGGCCTCGATCTTTTGCGCGAGCATCTTTGCGTAGCGCATGGGATGCAGAGCGAGGAAGGGCTGGGCGAAGCAAGACGAGAAAGTCGCCTGGGGCTCGAGGATGCCGTCTTCGGTGCCGGCCATCTTGGAGGTGTAACCGGAAATGAAGTGGAACATTGTCTGGGCCGAGTTGAGCTTGGAGATGGGCGGGAGGACGCCGCGGGCGTCGCAGGTCAGGAGGATGATGTTCTTGGGGTGGTTGTTGGACAGGCAGGGGATCTTGGCGTTGTTGATGTACTCGATCGGGTAGGCGCAGCGCGTGTTCTCGGTCAGGGTGACGTCGTCGTAGTCAACGATCCTGGTCTCGGGGTCAAAGATGACGTTCTCGAGGACGGAGCCGTACTTGATGGCGTTGTAGATATCCGGCTCCTTCTCGGCCGACAGACCGACTGTCTTGGCGTAGCAGCCGCCCTCGATGTTGAAGACACCGGTGTCGGACCAGACGTGCTCGTCGTCACCGATGAGGGCGCGGTTGGGGTCGGCAGAGAGGGTGGTCTTGCCGGTGCCGGAGAGACCGAAGAAGAGGGTGACGTCGCCGTCCTTGCCCTCGTTGGCCGAGGAGTGGAGGGTCAGGATGTTGTGCTTGACGGGGCCCTCATAGAACATGACGGTGAAGACACCCTTCTTCATTTCGCCCGCGTACTCGGTACCGAGGATGACCATCTCCTTCTCGGCAAAGTTGATGGCGACCGAGGTGCCCGAGGTCATACCCTCAGTGTAGCGGTTGGCGGGGAAGGAACCGGCATTGTAGATGGTGTAGTCGGGGTGGAAGTGCTCGAGCTCCTCGCGCGAGGGGCGGATGAGCATGTTGCGCATGAAGAGGGCATGGTAGGCGCGGGCGCAGACAACGCGGACCTTGATGCGGTACTTCTCGTCCCAGCCGGCATAGCCGTCAACGACGTAGATGCGATTTCTGGTGTTCAGGTAGTCGATGGCACGCTCACGGTTGATCTTCCAGACCTATTTGGGGCAAAGGGTGGTTAGCATTGGGGTGTTCACGTGATGGCCATCTGGAGCTGGTGGAGAATAAGGAAAAGGAAAGAAAAGGTGGGGTCTGGATCGGCCCTCGGGAGCGGGGTGCATTTGGGGATTGCCAGGGTATGACGAAAACGACATGGGGCTGTCAAGGCTGCACGACTCGACAATGACGCTGCCGCCCGCCAAAATTGCCGAGAAACTGAGCATCGTCTTCTTCCGGGCGCCCGAAAAAGAAAAGAGAAAAAAAAGCCATTGTTGATGCGCTCATCGCCAAGCACAATGACGTCCATGGTGAATTGACATCAGACTTTTGGTCTCATAGGACGCCGAGGCGCGCAGCAGACATCACGCTGGGGCGTGCTCGTGATGTCGGCCACATGTCGAATGTCAAATGTCGCATGTCGCATGGCCGCATGTTTGGCGCCGCCCCCTTGGGGTCCGGGTGCCATCGGCTGAAGAACATAAAAAGAGAAAGAAAAAAATAATAAAGGAAAGGAGCAAAAGTCTCACCTCAGGAGTCATGGGCTTGTTGACAGGGCCCCACCTATCGGATGCGTTAGCGGACTGTGTTCAGATGTTGTCTCAACAAGACAGTCGAAGAGTAAAACATACCAGATTTCGTTCTCGGAAGATGGCTCCTTGACGACACGCTTGTCTGATGGAGAGCGGCCAGTCTTCTTGCCGGAGTAGGCGGTAAGAGCACCGCTGGAGGTGATGGCAGTGCCGGTCTCGTAGACCAAAGCATCCTCGTAGAGGGCGGCCACTGATGGGTTGGCGATGATGGCAACACGGTTGTAGTCGATGTGAGCCTTCTCGTGGAGCTCCTCCTCGAGCTCGGTGTGCTCGTGGTGAGGAACGACACCGCCGGGATGGAGGCCGGTCTTGTTTACTGTGTTGACGAGCACTGTGTGGGTGAAAAGAACGCCATGGTCAGCCACAGAAAGCCTGAAAGGGGGAGCAGAGGAGAATACTGACTGTCGGATGGTTTGGTCGAGGGACGTTGGGAAGAGAGAAGATGGCTGCGAGGGCCTTTGACGGATGGATCAGTGTAGGGAGAAGCGGTTCTGGCAACGGGGTCGTTCATGGTTCTTAAGTGCTTTTCGCGGCCGTCGTGTTGGCTTAGGTTTGGGCTGAGCGTCGACAGGGAACACGGGAGCTGGGACGAGCTTGACGATGGGGGCTTGTGGGCAATCCACTTTCTGCAGGGTTGACAGCCGGAGTGTATGGAGCGTACGGAGCGTATGGGGTATGCGGCAGGTGTTGACCAGGAAGTGCTGATAAGACAGACCCGAGGCAGAGGAGTGAGAATATATAAAGACGTGGGGCCCGTAAACAGGGCAGATCCAATGAGGCGTGACGACAGCATTCCAACTTGTAGAACTTGGCGATTTACGGCTCCAAGCCCGGGACTGAACCGGGTGCGAGTGGGTGCTGCTTCGGGCTCACAATGATTGGGCCGCTGGGCCACGAATTGTTTCCGGAGAGTCTGAAGGAGGCCCCTGTCGCTGCGTGTCGCCTTTCGGGACGGAGAGGCGGCGATGCATCGATTCCTCTCTCTGGGGCCGTTCCGCCGGGTGGATTTGTGATTTGTTTGGTGCGACAAAGATACATCCCAATCCGGAAGCAGGCGGCCCTGTTTCACACAAACCTGAACCTACCTACCTCTTCTGCTTGTCTCCTGTGCAGCCGTCTTGCCTGGACCACTTGGGCCACCTCCTATCTGCTTTCCGTTTTACCTTCCTCTCCGAGACTCGGACTTGTACCGAGTATACTCTACTAATCGCACCGTAAGGCAAGATATCCTCGGGTAAAGTAGGAAGGGATTCGTTTCAAGGTCTTGCTGGTTACCTGCCTTGTCACTCCGTACTGTCAACAACTCTTCCCCGGAGGGGTGGGGCTTGCCTCACTTCAGAGGCTGAGACCCCGTTCAGCCTGGCACATGACGCTCCTCCGCAGATGACGCCCCCAGCCATCACGGCGCGGCGTCATGGATACGGCTGTTTTGTTTTGCTACAAACGGTGTCGTGGATGTGAGCGGACAGGGCTGAAAGGGGCTCTACCTGGGCCCGCAGCCATTGGACGGCAGCAGCAGACGGCTGTGGGACGACGAAAAGTCTGGGGCATGAGCGTGCCGAGCCCTTGGCAACCTGTTTCTCCCGGGCTGAACCTGTTCTCGAACAGTCAACGCCGTCAACCCTTACCCCGCGGTTCCTCCTCTCTCCCACAACGAGCCCGCCGAGTGACATGCATGGTGCCGGGGAACACCACGAGGTCAACAGAGACTTTACAGGGCCCTCCTCTCATGACGCGCGCCGTTGAGGATTGAGGGTGGTCCCAAAGGGCGAGGGGCGGTATGCAGCGGTCGACCGTCCTGTTGGTCTCCGTTGGCCCGGCGCATCTCTGTTGATCAATTCAGTCACATTCTTTCGACAAGCAAGTATCTGTTTTGGATGAACTGCTGCTGCACTTGCAGTGAACCTACAGCATCTGATGCTGCCGAGAGCCACGAGCCCACAACGGATGCCCCGCTATGACACAAAATGCCATTCTGCTTTGCCGACCACATTCCGTCATCGTGCCGGGCGGGCATTAGTATCGGCGGGGCCCTTCCGCAAATCAAAGGTCACAAACCGCAGTTCCGACTCTTCCCGACCGCATCTTTGACTTTTCTATTTTCTTGCCGTTTTCGCACATCTTCCAACAGGTTGTGATCGTGATGGTATGGTTGGTGCCTTGGTGCTACTACGAAAACAAAACCTTTTCTCAATTCCGTTGTCCAGGGGTTGGCCGTTGAAAGCCCGGGCTTGACTTGGTGCCTTGCTTGGTCTTGAATTTTCTGGGGTAAGAGAGCTTGTGTCTTACGTAACTTTCCGCCAACGTGACCTGGGGCCTGGCTCTGAAGCCTCGCCCATGTGATTCCGGCAAATCCGTATTGTGCTATTGGCCACACCCCTCTGCTGAAAAGCGAAAGAGAACTAACAGCATTTTTTTCCAACTGAAGAGAACAACAAGTCACGAGGACGGAAAGGAGCGGTAAAGACCCCTGGGAAACATTTCGGTGTACCGAATAGAATTTTTCAAGTCTTGCAGTCTCCGGGCGAATTACCTAAGCCACGGCAAACCCAACAGCTTCGATGCTGCAGCAAAATGGCAATAATACGTCAGCCATGACAGCAATTGACACTTATCGTGACTGGCCGATGGGGGGACCCCAGAAGCTCGCCAAGCTGCCACGGGCGACGCAGGCCAAGCCCATCTCCAAAATGCTGTGAAACGGCTGAACCAGAATTTCAAGAAGCCAAGAAGGCCATCATCGCGGGAACCAAGGGTGTGTGTGTGTGTGTGTGTGTGTGACCCTGGCCCAGCGGGTAGGAACAACCCCTGCATCACCAATCTGCACGTTCTAGAACCTGTCCCGGTTTTACCCATCGCTCTTTTCCTTTTCCGCCGGCAATCAGCTTCGGCCCCCCGGGGGCGCCGGCCATTTCGAAGAACTTCACTCACCACACAACACCTGCCGATCCCCCGACATCCGCCGACTCGGGGGACTTTTCTTGGCAGCCCGCCCGTTGTACGCCAAAACATTCACCAACGGGGGGAAAAACCTCACCCGATGCTGGCCGAATGCTACACTTTCAAAAGTTGATATCACAATTTTTCTTCTTCTGCTTCCCTATGTTTCGAGGCCTCCAATATCAACCCCTTGCTGCTTGCTTGCCTATATCATGCTGATGATGTGCTTGGCGATTTCGCATAATCAGTTCCGCCTTCTCACCCGGCTATGTCGGATCGGGCTGGGAAGCAAGATATACAACCAACATTTCGGCTACTTTCCGCAACAATTGTCCAACGGACGGAAATAGGTAGGGGGCTGTAGCCGACCCTGCGAACTCTTGTCATTTGAATTGCTCGAGGATGGTGTGGATGGTGAGCAATAAATATACAGAGATTTTAAAATAAAATAAAAATCCGGATATCAAACATTTCTCGGTAGAAGTGCCCAGACGGGTGAGCCCGCTAGATCTAATCCACCACAAGCCACTTGTAACAGAATTGGCATCTCTGTTTACCTTCCCCCGTGGCCGTGGGCGGTGGTGTCCACACAGATCAGATTTATTGCCCATAGGTGCCAAGAGATGGATGGCTCGCTGAACACGGGAGTGTATCATCATCACTTCGGGAGTCCCCCCCAGTCAGCGGAGACAGGATCTGAGTGATTCGTTCCAACAAGAACCCCCTGGCCAGTGGCCACCAGCACCAAAGATCTCACGCGCCGAGATTTCGGTCCCCTGTTCTGTCCTTTTCGTCAGGCGTGACCAGAATTACACTATTTTCTCCCTGTTTTGTTGCCGAGGAAGGCTCCTCTTCTCTCAGATCGAACAAGTGCCGGGCCGGACCGATTACCTATCGGACCTGTTTTCTCCGGGACGCTGTATACTAGAAACTTGCTGGTCTCACAAGGGAATGGGAGAGGCAGGTACTTGACCTCTTTGAGAAACGATCATCCTTTTTCTGTTTTATCACCAGCAAAAGCGGGATCGCACCGGCCCGGTTGGTTGGTGGTGGGGGCGTGTGTATAAATGTCTGGTGCGATGCCGCTTACTGCTGGCGGCCCGTATCCCATCCGACATTCGCCGATCGTTGTTGCACGGGAAGGGTGGTATGTGAAGGGAAAAGCTTCGCTATGAATTTTTTTTTTTTGGTTCTGTGTGACGGTGGTATTCTCCGAGGGTGATCATTTTTTGGAGGTATACGAGATGGAGAATTTCAAGTCTATCTCGCACTTGGAGATCGACGTTCGGCAATTGGGGGTGAGCAAGATACACTGCTTCGAGGCTCTGGGGACATGAGAGGGAACCTGGAGCTATTTACAGAGTTGTTTGCTTCTCCAGGGTTGTTCTTGCGAGAAACAATAGGAAACGGGTAGGTAGCCCCGTTTGGGAGAAGTCACTGGTGAGGTATATGCCAATGTCTCGAGTCGGCAGTCACTCGCGTGCCGTTGTCTAACCGATCGACGATGCTTCTGTAACGTGCTCAGCGGACACGGGATACGGACGGCTTGATATCACTCAAAGCTTGACCAGAAAGCTTGACTTTCCTTGTTTTGTTGCCTGCATGCTTCTGTTTTGATCGATCGGCAGTTTCCAGGCTCGGCAATGGATGCTGAGGATGGGAGATGGTAGGCAAGTGGTGCGGAACAGGATACTCCAAGAGGAGAATGCGAGACGAGATATCGAGCCGCCGTCGGTGAACGGCAATGCAGGTGATGAGGTCGATGAGACCGAAACATGGACTCTGGACTGGAGGTACGACAGCTAACCCGAGGCTCTCTCTGCGGTGATCAACGCCAAGGTAGAGAGACTTGAGCAAGTCGTGGGGTAGAAAACTTGAGGCCGCAAATGTAAGAATCAGGACCTGAAAGTATTACAAGAAACGCGCTTAACAATATTACAAACCTTCTCGTATATCTTGGAAGCCCATCAATCATTTCAACAGCCCTCATTCCTAGAAGCAGTCTCTATTCTTTGCCCATAAGGTGATGAGCAGAGCCGTTACCATAGCAACTGTTCAGGGGTGAAAAAAGGGGGGGTTCTTGGCGACCGAGAGTTCTCTGGATGCTCATTGGTCTATTCTTATGTCGGGAGCATTTCCTCCTTTTTCCGAGATACATGGTGGACCTGGGGCCCGTGGAGGAGGAGCTTCGCTCCTGCCTTTTGTGGGTGCCGTAGGCAACCACAGTCAAGGTATCTTGTGTTTGGCAATATCTCAATAGGTATGTTTACACATGGGCAAATAACAGGAAGTGATTAAAACATGCTGACACAACTCTTCCATCATCCCTTCAAGCTGTTCTGTTCCAGTCGTCTCTGTGACGCTTTCGATGCCGTAAGATTGACCAAGTTTATGATTGGTGCAATCCCTTGTTTAGTTCTGCCGACGGAGAATGGACTTAACTAGCTGTAGTAATACACTATTATAAGTATCTCAGGTAACCTGATTTGGGTACTGGAAGTCTGATTAAGTAGGACTAATTGACCACCGCGCCGTGCTGTACGAGACGTTCTAAGAGGGGAACCTACCACCGTTCGATGAGGGCTCATTCATCGGTACAAACCAGAGTGATCTGTGACATGGCGTTAGCTGCTCGGACTTGCCGACTTGGAATTCAGTGCCAGCTTCCATCGGCCATCAGTTAACACTCCGAGCTGGAACAAAAGGAGGCCTCGAAGGCAGCGAGCTCACTGTTCACTGTCCAGAGCGTTTGACCGGCCGGCGGGCAATCAGATTCATAAAAATGTAGCTGTGAAATTCGTTCATTTCTTGTGGTGTAAATTGACCGTATCTGAGAAAAGGCTATCGATCTAACGTCTACTTATTTCTGGTTCGTCTACCCACACTACATTACTGGTTCATACTCTAGACATACTCCTTCCGCTATATCACCGCCTTAACTCACACCACTCGTGCCATATCCTTCGCACAAACAAAAATAAAGTAGCTCAGCGACCGATTCGTTTCCTTAACCCTTTCCACTAAAGTAGGTAGCCATAATCAAACAGCCTTCTCAGTCCTGCTCTATGTTTTTCTCTCATCACCCACAACCTGGTAAACGTTATAGTAAACTTGGGTACTTTATCTGTATAGGTAATACCCGTAACACAAAAAGCATGTGTCTAGTCCGCCATGATTGAGAATCCCCCTTTTTTCCCGCCCCGCAAAAGACTCCGTTGTCTTACCTCAATTTATAACAGTCTACCCAGGGTGTGGTCGCTTGTCTGGATTGCGCTTTATACTGGGATAGCTCAACATTGGGGCATTTATATGATTAATTGCCTGTATGTAATATTTTGGGCAGGCGGGTAAGCAGACAGTGCATGATTAAGTCCAGACTTATATAACCAACAGTCAACTTCTATGGGTGAGGGATATTCAGTCGAAAAGCCTTTGGCTGTACTGAGCTTTCTCTGGGAGGATGTCTTGTTGGGTTTTGGGATAGGGTTGAAAGAACAGACGACTGTGTGTATTCTGCTCATAAAACTGGAGAGACTGCTATCCGGATGGGGGTTCGAACAGGTGGTTGATAGGTGTTCAAGGAAAAATTTGGACAATTATAAATATTCTTAACATGCCTTGATCATGTCTCGGAAGGCTTTTGAACATTGTATCAAGTTCCCATGACATTAAATTAGTTCAATTTGTCTGCGCAACAAAATGCCCAAACGTGCTAACGTGGCTGGTTCGGTAGGGGAAGGGGGTATCCGTGAAAATCTCAAGCAATACACATCTGTGAAAAAGAGAAAAAGAAAAACATAAACAACCGCTGGCTAGGCCAAACCCTCGTTCTCATCCTGTCATATTCCCCAGCCGACCTCCTATCCACAAGCCTGATGATCCAATCTCCGTGACTACCGCCGCAGTGTCAAATCCCCGCCCCAAACCCCTCCCGATGAAGAATGTGAAAAAAATCCAGCTCAGATGTCTTCCTAGATTACAACCATTATATCTCAAAGATTGAAAGGCATGCGTCATCACCACCTCCCGCTTTGACCTGTCCTCCAGACCCTCTCTTCCGCCTCGACCTGTTTGACCAGCTCATTCAAGGCATCGAGACCCTCGCTTTCCCTTTCCTTGTCCCGCACATCTTCCTTCCGCTCGACCTCCTTCTTTTTCTTCTTCCCATTAGTTCTCTGGTCACCCTCATCCAAGATGTCTTGCAGGGAAAGCAGAGACGTCTCCTAGACAGGCCTCATGCTAATCCCCTTTCCGCCCTCCCTCACCTCAAAAACCCCCGTGCCGCCCTCGCTGTCCCCAATGAACAAGAAGCCGCCATCGGCAGAAAAGCACATCTCCGTCACCTTGCTCAAATTCGCCAACTGGCTGAACCCAGCCATCATATCAACGTCCGCAGCAGTGGCATCCGGGTCCGGCCAGCACCACAGCTGCTTCCCCGTCATGGCATCCAGCACCGCCAAGCATCCTCTCGCTCCCGAGTCAACCCCCCTAGAGTCACAGTAGGCGATAAATCTGCAATCCGGGCTTACGCACGACATGGCGTTGGGGATGCGGAAGGTCTTCGTGGATGACGCAGAAAAGTCCCATACAAGGACATACCGGAAGGGGACCGAGGCGGGGGCGAGGTTGTACCCGTTGCCGCCCCTCGCGGCCGGGACGGGGATGGCACGGTAGGAGGCGGGGATCCAGATTGATACGGCGACTGAACCGTAGGTGGCGAGACCAGATGGGAGGGCGGTGTCCAGCTCGGCATGCTGCCATGGTGCCACGACCTTGTACGGTGTTGTCATTTCGGCGCCGTTGTGGATCTCCCAGGCTATGAGGAGCGTCTCTCTCTCGGGAGGAGGGTGCCCTAGTCTGGGTGGCCGAGGCCCGGAGGCGGTGATCAGGAGGGGTCCAGTGGCGGAGAAGGCGAGTTCGGGATACTTTGGCAACACCGGGAGACCCGCCCTGGCGAGCTCAATCACGCGCGTCTTCTTGAATGGCTTCTTGGAGTATGTCGCTTCCCACAGCTCGATGGTGTCGTTGTCTCCTCTGTAGGTGACAAGGGGGCACCATCCGGCTTCCATAACGTTGGAGCGAACGGCGGCCCAACGGTCCGCCTTGTCCATGGACTGCAGCTTCTTCTTCTTGCCCCAGTCCCAAATCTCGAGCGAGTCACCGAAGCCGGTGGCAATGGCTATCATGTTGGAGGGCTCGGAAAGAATGGCATGGCTACGGACGAAATACTCGCGCGACCGAGGCTGGGCGGTTGTGTAGCAAGAGATTTTGATCTGGCTCTGGACCTCGCCTGAGCCGACAGACCACACCTTGATGATGTTGTTGCCATGTTTGCTGGCCAGGGTGGCAGACGTTGTTGAAATGTCAAAGAAGTAGACGGATGGATCCTTGGGGGCCTTTTCCTGGTGTGTGAGAGATTTCCAGGGCACAACAGTCACAGCCGTGGATTGTGATGCCTGCCGTGTCCGATATTCCTCGGGCACGGGAGGGACAGCCACGAAATGCGCATTGGTGTGTGGAGACGTTGGTGTTCCGTTCGTGGGCACTCGCTCGAGCCCAAAACCCCTGGTGGAATCCGAGTATCTCGAAGTCTCGCCCGATGCAATTGAGCTGCTGTCAAAGGAGCCCTGGGATGAGATGCGGCGTGCAGATTTGTTGGAGGGAAGCGCGGGCAGCGGCTGCTTCGGCGGTGGTGGACGGGCTGCGGGGTACAGGCTGAAACCGGCGGACGAGCCTCTCGAGGGCCTTCGGTCCGATGTATGCGAGTCTTTTCGGAAAAGTGACGACTTGCTCCTCGACACCGGACGCTGCAGCGGCAATGCGGCAGCGTGCCGCTGGCCAAGCTCATAATTCGGGACTCGGAAAAGGTCATCGGTGGGACTCCATTGCGACTCGGGAGTCGGTGGCAGCGGGTAGCCGCTCGAGGGGGGTCGTAGTCGGGGATCGTAGGCGTCATAGGACCGCCCGTTGAGCAATGGGGCCGAGTCACCATGCCGCGAGTCCGCTGTGCTTAATCGGTTCAACTTTTCTCTGTTCCCAGCCGTTAGCAACCATTTGGTGAACTGAGCGGTTCAACGGCGGTGTGGCGGGTGACTAGCTTACGCCATCTCATCCAACCCTTCGGCAGGGTATGCATAGGGTTCCATCTTTGATCGATTGTAACGAGGTCGCGATCGTAAAGGAGATGATGTTCGTATCTGAAGGAGGAAAGCTGTGTGGGAAACGCAGGGCAGATCAAAGCCTCGGATGATCGCAAATCCGGCTACCAGGTCGGCGGGCCCTGGGTCTCAGAGAGCAATGGGAGCAATGGGAGCAATGGGGGTGGGAGTGAAGACGGAGGTGAAGCGGAAAAGAGGACGACAGGGTCGTATCGCAGGAGGTCGGAGAGGGGACAGTCGCTGGGGGAGGGTCATCTTGTATCATGGGGAAATGGGGATCCCTCCATGACCTGCAGGATGGATACCCCTGGGGGGGACAGCTCCCGCCTGCTCCCCCGAGGCCCTCCCCTCATTCCCCACGAGCCAATGGTCGCGATAATGGTGCACTCCTCCACAAGCTGACAGGCCATCCCAGTGGGGGAGTGGGCCCAGACCGACAATAGCGTGATTCCCCACCGACCACGCCCACCTCTCTCCCGTCAAAGCTTTTTTTTGCTTTCTGTTTTATCAACCTTTCCTTTGTGAGCCTCTCAAGTCTCCCCATCCACCGTGACACGCAGGGCTGCCACGTTTGTTTGATCCCCTACCGTCTCGTCCGTGCCTGGTTCCCATCTGGCTGCTCAAAGGACGCCCTCTTGGCACGAACATGGCTCCTTGTTTCCCACCTGCAGCCAACAGTGTCGCCGCTCGACTGCATCTATCCCGTCCGTCATCCGCGCGGAATGGGCAATCAATCCATACCCCGCTCAAGACTGAAAGCTGGTCCTTGCCTCGTCATATCTTAAAATGGATAAAATGACCCGGGGTTGTGGTTGATCTACCTAGCGGATGGATGGTATGCTACTACACCATGTAGCAGTCATGAGAGAGACGGCCCGATGGCCTTCCTCTTATGCATCGACACACCCTTTCGGAGCCAGCTCCGGTATCACGTCGGCGCACTCGGATACGGCTACAGATCTGGGAGATCGTCGCCTCTTGGATCAAACTGAGCAAACTAAAACGCCATAACGAAACACGAAGCGAAGAATCCGACACTGTCAACTGGCTAATAGCGCTTGTGGACTCGGCCATGTGAAGCTAAACAAGCCTTCTCCACCACAAAATTCTTGGGAACTTTTAGTTACATTGCACTGTTCCAGCTCCAGACTGCTACACTTCTTGGCTGTACTTTCGGGCCATGCTTCGGGCCCAGCTTCGGTTGCTCGGCTGTGAAATCTGACCACTTGTGACTGGCACCGCACAGATGATTCGCCCCATCTTGCCCTTTATGGATGTTCTCTTCAGCTGGTCAAGATACCTATACCGCTCATTCAGGATCAGGAGAAGGGAGAAGGCAGAAAACTATCTACAGAGTATATATCGCGAAGTCGACATTGTTACACGCCTCGATCTAGATTGGGAAGGAGAAACAGTGGCGTTGAGAAAAGAAGAAAAGAAAGCTGCAGCACATCCAATCAACCTGGTCAACGGCCCGTGCCCAAGCCGTGTCTTGTCTCAAACTCCCTGCAAGAGCTGAGAATTCAAGATTAGAATGTCTTGGTCCTAGAACCCCTATTTTTTGCATCCTAACAATGGTATACATACTGTACATACGCCGCACCTCTGCAGCAAAATGATGCAATAATGCCATGCAGTACACCCCTCTGACAGGTGCTGACTTGTCTCGCCAATCTGCCCTCGCGAATGCACGAAGATCCGGATGGACGCGAGCGGACCGTGCTTGTCACTTTGCCTTTCCCGTTGTAGCCGAGCAGATCATTTTGCTTCTTTTCTATCCACTAGGGATGGGCGGACCTCATGCTCACGTAGCATTCATATGTTGATAGAATAGTCTTGCAGGCTTGTGAGGGATGGTCGCAATACTCAGAGTTATTAATCAGTGCTCTTTCATACGTGAGACAAGTTGAACCCTGTGTCTCACCTAGTAGGCCTGCTGCCGTGAGGGAGCAGAAAAGGAAAGACTACAACAAATTTAAGGCCTGAAGAGATAGCCAATACCCCTTTTAACATGCTTGAGATGCCTTTCCGCATAAGCAAAATATCTTGAAGATTGTCAAGAGATATTCAAAGCTGCGTAACTTCATGACGTGTGGATTAAGGTGTCATAAACTCAGTTGTAGCAGCTTCTGAAACGATTACGGCTTCTCTCACCAGTATTACGACTCAACGACTTTCAAACATGACAGTTCTTTCTACACACATATATTGACTGGATGGAACGTCACTGACCCATAACATCACAGTAACTTGATCGACAAACGATTCATCGACTGGTCAAGCACGCCATTATTCAAAGATGTGGATGTCACAATAGCGTTTGTCTCCAAACAAACAGAGTTAACGAGTTGCAAAGTGACTTATTGTGATTCATTCAACTCATGTCATATAATCTTGGACTGTTATTATCTACCTCGGAGCTCTACAAAAAGGCCTGCCTGGGGCAGTATGTTCGACCTTTCAGTATCTACCTGGCTCTCACAGGATTCCCTACTTCGCAATTGAATAACCATCATGCACAAATCTTCCAAAACATACCCAGTGTCGAATGAAACATCATAGCCTGCAGTCCCTTATGCCCTATGCGGGGGAAAGAGCAAATTGTTTTGTGCGTATCTGTGCTTGCTCTGGCAGATTCAAATGTTTGACTCACCGCTCCAGGTAGGTAAGGTAGTCGATGGAGCACCAGCTATCGGCCATTTGCACTGCGACTTTTTCACCTTACTGTCACCGTCACGCTGGCAAGAGATCCGCTTCTTTTTCCCCGTACAGCACATACTATTACCACCCCCGTACCCTCAAATCCCCGCAAAAGTCGCAGACATGCCCTCCTCGGCAGAACAACCCCCTTCCAAGAAGAGGAAGTTGAGCCCCGAGCTTGAGAACCACGACCCAACAACCACAACAAAAGCGACTACAGCTGCATCTTCAACGACCGACAACCTTCAAGACACAACACCGCCCGACGATAAAAATCTCGTTCACGGCCCGAACAATGAACAAAGCGACACTCAAAGCCGACGAGAAGCGTTTGAGTGTCTAATCGATTTCTACAACGAAGGCGACCTCCACCACGACGACGACGACAAAGACAACACCCGCAGGACTTACTCCCTCCCCCCGCCACCAGGGTCCACCCCGACAGAGGAACTGCTGTGGGAAGCCTTCCTGGCAAAAGTGGAGGAGGCCGACGACCAGCTTATCGAGCACATCCGCTGCCACCGTGAGCAGCGTATTCAGATGACTGTCTTGGAGGAGCAGAGACAGACGGACCAGAGACGGATGGGGGAGTTGGCGGTGAGAAATGGAGAGTTGATCACGCAGTTAAGGGAGCAGCGCGATCGGGATGGGAAAAGGATTGAGGAGCTGGAGGAAGGGATTAGGGAGGAGAAGAAGGAAAGGGAGGGGGATTGGAAGTGGATTAAGGAGTTGGAGGGGCAGTATATGAGGGATCGGAGACGGATAGGGGAGTTGGAGGCCGAGGTTAGGGAGTTGAGGGCGGGGGGGAGAC